TTTTTTACTTTGAGGGATAGTCTTTACTATGACTACACCCTAGGGACTTGCCCAGAAGATGTGAGAAGAAATGTTTTCTTTGCTTCCGATTTCAAAAGCAATAATAATCTTCTTCCTTCCTGTTAAACTCATATGCTTTATACCTTCCCCTTTGTATTAATTTGATTGCGGCACAAGAGAAACTGCAGCAGCCCATTATTTTCAAAGAGAGAGAGAGAGAGAGAGAGCAAGTAGCCAGAGGGCTATTAGGAGCTACCTTTGCAAAGTTACTCGAGAAGATTGCACTATAGGAGGCATTCTGGACACAGCTTTGAAGCTTCAAGTCACTTGAAAGAGCTTTGCCCACAACCCAGAAGAGTAGATGATCACAATGAAATTTTTCATTATTTCTCTGGGTTTACATTTTTTTTTAGATCATTTAAAGGAGAAACATCAAACTCATAGTCACTTAGCCAAGGTTTGGTTGCCACCCTCTCTGTTGCATTTGAATCTGAATGCTTTGGGATAGGGCATGCTGTCCCCAGTTCTGCCACAGGCCACATCATTCCCTGTAGATGCTTTCCTCATTTACGTTTGCAACTCCTAATTTTCAGAATCAGAAAATTTCCAATATGATTTCTCTTCAACTCTGCAGGAAATTCTTTTCAGAACAAATCTCCCTCATATGTCTATTACATTTGTGAGAAGGTAGTAATAATAACAGCAAAAACAATGGCTTGGGTGGACACAAAGATCGGACAACAAAAGGCATTATATGGAAGACACTGATGTGGGGAAATAAAACACGAGGCCTATATCACTTAGCAAAAGGAAAAGGCAAGTGTGTCTTTGTCTTCCTCTGCCCTCAGGAGTAAGTTAGACCACTAGTTAATGCTATCACCAGCATACAGAAGAGCTGGGTTCTTCTAAGCCTGCCAACATATCCTATGAGATGCAGAAGAGCCACGTTGTTTAAACATAGCATTTGTTGGATGTATCTGTGCAAATCCCAGTGTCAGACACTACAGGGGACCCAAGAGCAAATAAGGTGGCGATGCTACACCCAAGGAATGTAGAGTCTGGAGGACACAGACGGGCACATGAGCAAGCTCAGGAGTGAGGCGATGACAGAGCGGTGCTGGATACACGACTAACCAGCTTCAGGGTTCTGAGCTGGGGTATTCCTCCTGCCTCTCCGTCCTCTCTCCATCTCTTTTCCATCCCTATGCCAGAGTTATCTTTTTAAAATACAACCCTTATTAGGTCACCTCTACCTAGAACCCCACCAGCAACTTCTCATTTGCTTTCATGATACAGACCAAAGACGTCTACGAGATCTTTAACTGTCACGTAGTCTGGCCTGGTCCACCCCTCTAGCCTTAGGAGGAGCCACCGTTTCCTTCCTTTCAGTCACGCTTCCTTCAGCCACAGGGCTCTTGTCTGTAATGCTCTGTACATCACACACACACACGCGCGCGGACACACACATGCACGCACACACACGCACACGCACACACGCACACACACACACACTTTGCCCTAACATGCTTCTAATCACGGATAAATACGGTTTCCTCAGAATATCTTTAGTCTAGGTCCAGTTCCTTTGGGGTTTTTTGTTTGTTTTTTGTTTTTTCATTGTACATGTTTATGGTATACAGTTTGTTGTTTCAATGCATGCATATATGGTATAGTGATGTGACCAAAATAGCACATTTCCTGGTGGTTATAATATTCAAGATCCTCTCTTCTGGCTGTCTTAAAATGTGCAATACTACAGTATTAACTATCGTCACCCTAGAGCACCAGAACTTATTTTTAATAGCTCACTTTGAAAATGTGCATTAATTCATTTGATTATTTGATAAACAACCCCCAGACTATAAGGCCTATTAGTACTGGGATGATGTCATTGTAGCTCACTAGTGTATCACCCGTGCCCGGCATAGAGTCTGGAACATAGTAAGAGCACAATCAATATTGATCCAATACATTCACGAGTACAGAAATCATAAATGATCTTGCTTTTAAGTCCCATCCTCTCAGCAGCATGACTGAGAGCATTGCCTGCCCTTGAGATGCAGGTGCAGCCATGGCCACCCGAAAACCCTTCTAGAACAGTGAAGGGCATAAATGGATAACTGAAAGGGGCCTGTGGCAGCATCCACAAGTCTGCATCCCATGTGGAATATCTGGAAGCCTCAGTTGCTTGCTGTCCTACCCGGCATTCCTAGGCAGAAATGGAAATTCTTCTGTGGGAATGAAGGCAGCAGTGTTGGGAACAGCTGATTTCCCACAAAGATTAATCTCCATGGTCACCAAAAAACCTCTCCAAGCCAGCAAATCTCTAAGGCTCTTTTTGTTGTAAAGTCTTAACAATGGGTTCTGAAGAGACTTTGCCTTTAGAATCCTTAATCCAGAAATGGGGATAAAATTGAAGATTTTGAATTTTGAATGAGCCTTGTGTGTCAGGTTACATGCAATTTATTTTTTTTAAAAAAAGGAACATCTTTTTATCTTCGATTATTTTCTGTGGCTGGAAAGACAGAGTTTACAACAGGCTGGTAAATGGATGACATATGCCTTCCTGTTTACAGCATTCACATGAAAGAACAAATCCCAGGTTTTACAGGATTGCAGCTGCAGGTACGTCACTCCTTGTCGATACCCGGGTGGTAATGCACACGCACCACTGCGTCAGCTCATCTCTCTCCTAGCAACAGGAAGAAAAAGCAGCAAGAACCAACTCTTCTCAGTACACTTGGGAATGATTGTTTTTACATTCATCTTATTTTCCTCACTTACTATCTAATTCATTTTCCATTTTACAGAATAATCCTGAGTTCCCATTCTTTCAATTAAGGAATCATCATATTTGTACAGATTGCATTGCATAGGCTCAGGAAGTACTGTTACCCTGTTGAGCCTAAGAAAAAATGATCAAATAAAAAGACAAAAGTAAAAATAATAATATTGTCTGTCTTTACCACAAAAAAGAAAATTTGCTTTCACCCCCTTATTTGGCCAACTGGTCAGTCTGTCTACCTATCTAATATTTTCTCCTCTTGAAAAATAGCAGACAGGCTAATCAGTGGGTACAGTAATTGACCACATAACTTTGAAGATCCCTTTCAAATCCTCAGTCAGTTATTCAGTGACCTCTATATGGAAAGAAAACAGCAGAGGGAAAATACCTAATGGAAAATGAGATGTTAAATGTAAAAGTAGGTTGTAAGTTGTGAAATTCTACATTAAAAGTTGAGCATCATAATTTAGAAAAATAAGTAGGTTAAGGGTATTTAAAGAAAAAACGATTATAGTAACAGAATTCTCCCATCTTTCATCCTGAAAATAGATGAAACTCACACTGAGATGAATCTATTCTTCCTCCAACATCAAGTTTTTCTCAAAATACAAGTCTACTAACTCATTTGGAAGGTGTATATTTAACTCACTGGTTGAGTAATTCTTGGAGATGGCGACAATTTCAAAATTCATGTTCCTGGTACATGTAATACACTAAACAAATTGCTGAATAGCAATAATATCTAAAAATAAAACCCCACTTCTCAAAGATAAGATAAAATGTGCACATAAGCAATGATTTGGAGAACAAATAAATGGCTATATAAGCAGCACAATCACTGAACGGATTTGATTTACAAACTGCTCTGTAAGCAAGTTGGAAACATCTTTGGAACAGATGGGCCTTTTAATCATTGATCTTCCTCCCTCCGTGGTAAACCTGGGGTTAAGACATTAGTGCAACTAATTGTTTCCACTTGTATGACATTCTACTCTATTACAGCCTGTAAATCATTCTTGCAGAAACTGAGCCCTGCAAGTTTCTTAGAACTTGTCAATGCAAACGTCATTAATTGGCTCATGTTTTAGCACATCTTAACAGCCTAAAATGCTGAGCATATTCCTAAAAGAAATGCAAATCTCCAGGGGTCAAATAAACAATGAGAGAGGGTGAGTATGGTTATAAAAATAGATTCCTCTTCTACACAAGTAATGAGGGAAAAAAAAGGGAGGAAAGGAAACCAAAAAAAGTTAAAAGATTTTTTTTAAAAAGGTTGCAAAAGAAATTATAGAAGCATTATATTCTCTCCTCTTGCTTCTTTCTTCAGAGCCACATTTAAAAAACAACTAAATCAACATGAAATCTTAAAAGGAAGCCTTACTTCATTTGATTTTTAATAAACAATCAACATGGACTACATTACAAAATTTTTCTGCAGAGCTATATTACATAATTATTTTTGAAAACATTAATTATGTGTTTGCCATTGTTGGGAAAATATAGGAAAAATGGTAGGGCCCCTCAGATGTTCGGAATCTTGCCGAGCATTTGATGTAAATAGGCATATGAGCTCAGGTGTTCCTTGGCTATCATCTAGTGTAATTGCGCATGTGCACCCAGGTGTCCTGGGTTATGGACTTAAGTATAAG